AAAACTGTTAGGGAACCACAAACATAGTCTAATTTTCAAAAAGTGAAGAAATATAAAGTTGTTCCTTCCATGGTGATCTTTGTCGTAGTCCATGTTAAGAAAATGAATTATGTATGTACTGAAGGCAAAAAATTGATGTTTCTAATATCACCATCGTCAAATCCATAGTTACTTATCTGAAACTGATCCATGTGATAGGAAAATTTAAACATAAGGAATATCAAAGAGTGGGAACATCAAGTTTAGTGACAGTGCCACAAATGTAGAATGCTTTCAAAAGGACTTAGTTAATTACAGCCAACATACAGATATTTTAGTAGCCCTGTCATAATAGCAGTTTATGCTACAGAAATGTTAGGTCTTTGTATCATGATTAAGACAACAAAGATCTTATGGATACTATCAAAAGTCATAACATTTCTAGTGGATAAATAAAGGTTAATAATGAAAGCAATAATCTGAGAGAAATTCAAATTCATTTTCTGAAAGAAGGGTTTTTCATTTCCTTAGCCTGGACTACAACAAAGATCACCAGCACCATGAATTAATGATTTTCATTTGCACCATGAATCAATGATTTTTTTTTTTTTCAAAGGAACATTAGCAATGATGAAAACATTAAGCACATGACTGGAAAAGCTCGAGAAGAAATAATACAATTAAAAATTGGATCCTGTGCTTGATACAGAGCTGCTCAAAGCAGAAAGCAAGAGTCTATTTGCATAGTTCCTAAAACTTCAACATGAGAATCATCTACTCCGAAAAATAATTTGTATGAAGGTTAAGAAAACAGACTTTATTAAGTCAGGAGTTTGCAATTGGTCTTGACCTATCATTTATTGAGATGTATTGGAGTAAATTTTCAAGTTACATGTCATTTGCAATCTTCACAGATTCTCATGCTCTATAAACAATTTCTTAATGTATGACTATAACTACAAATTATGTAAATTTAAAAATTCCTACCTTTGTGAAATAACATCTGAAAAGCTAAATTCTACAAGGAAATCTCTCACATCTTGTTTTAGTCTAGTTGCAAGCTACAGAACAGCATTCTCGCAGGTACTTCAATATATTAAACTACGAGAAGACAGACAAAAAATTGAAACGCGTATCATAGAGAAAATATTTGGAGCAATCATTTATGACAAAAAAGACAGAACAAAGAGACAAGTTGAGAAAAACTTCTTCATAGAGTGTTCCTTCTTTCTACAAATATAAGACATGTACAAAATGAGTTGCAATGCTTCCCAAAACCACAGCCATCTCCAAATTTATCCGATGATTCTTGTCACCAACCTCAAATACCACTATATAATCCCTTGCATTGGTTGTGTGGATTCTATTATTGCTTTGTAGATACAGCTGGCCATTGGTTGTTACCAAAATGCTTCTCCAAACAACTCAATAATCATCAAAATGACTTGAGGTGTATTGTTTTTCAACAGAACAACATTAAAAGAATCTTTGTACTCCAACAGACTGGGTATATTTATCTGGAAAAACCTCCATTGAAGGCGCACAGAATTTGTTTAGCTAGACCCAAAAATAGCCCCATGGGAGAATGAAAAGTTCTAAAATAAGAGAATATAGAAAGATAACCACATGAAAAAAATAACAAAAAAAATTAGATATTTTCATGCAAACAAATTCACATTTGGTTCATCCCCCTACTTCAATGGTTATCAGTAGCATGGCAACCAGATGTTTTAATAGTAAAAAAATGTATGGTTTACTACATAAGGACTAAAAAACTAGTCCCATAGATGGTAAGCATCATGGCCTAGAAAAATGCAACGTTGACTACTACTAAATGAGATAGGCTTTCATCTTCTATGTGACCATTAATTCCACCCAACAGATGCATACAAATGTGTATCCTCAATGAAAAAAAAAATCATGTGAATGCATCTCAGAAACAACACTAAAGTATATGAACCTGTGGGAATTGATAATTCCTCAATCTTGAAACATCAGCTATGCGCTTAACCGTCCGGCTGCCCATGTCAGATGAAAACTCCTGCCAACATCAGTAAGATAAATTAGTTCAGCTAATTCATCTAATTGGAGCCATAAGGCTCACAAACCAAAGATCACATTAGAAGTTAAAGCGTCAAGGAAAGAGGAAGCATCACCTGGTCTCTAAAGACAGTAAGACCTTCTTTTAGACTTAGTTGGAACCAGTCACGGCACGTGACTCTGCAAACATTTCAGCATACTCAAATTTTAAATGGCATTTAACTAAAAACCAAAAACCTACCACTGTAGTCACATTTTTTGTCAGGAGCATTAAAGGCTAGGATATGAATCATGTTGACACAGGTACCAAACTTTGGGGGACACCATACAGTAGAAGATGGAATATATCTCCACAGAGACCAATACTACCAAGCAGTTGAGAATTGTAATCCAAATTTGAGGAATCACTAACTTATAAATAAATATGTAAATACTAAGAGGTGATCAAATTGGGCCTTCACCTACTGGCTTGTTCTCTCCTAACCTCGAATAGGCTTTGGGTTTGAATCCTTGTGGAGTGTACCCAAGTAACTGCAGTAGGTAATTCCTTAGGTAAGCAATACACCATTATTGAAAAGGGTGATCATACGCAGAAGGTTGCTACCAATGAAGGGTCTGGGGTGGGTCACTATACGTGGCCTTATCCTGCAAGGACAAAGGTTATCCCCATGACTCGATCACTGGTGAACAATCAGAAGGGAGCAACTTTAGTATAGCACCAAGTATTGCCCTCGTTCATCCATTATTCCTTTTTGTCCTTTTAAGAGACAGGAAATGCATACAACAAAGACAAGAGTGACATGAAGAAACTGGAGATACCTGTTTCCAGTCCAATTATGGAAATACTGCAAATTAACAAGTTAAGAAAACACATCAGCATCTTCTTTCTTCACATGATTAATAACACCATCTTATAAACATCATAAAACAAAGAAATGAAGTCTACCTCGTGACCAATCACTCCCAGAATTGCAGCATAATCTCCATCTGTAGCAGTTTCTGGTGATGCCAAGACAAGCTTAGAGTTGAATATCTGCAATTTACATATTAAATATCACTAAGCATTATAAACAAAATGTCCCTTATGTAAATAAGCAACAAAGTTCCAAAATTCACACATTTAAGCTCTTGTTTTCCATGGCACCCCTGCAAAACAATAGAAACTATAGTTTGTTATTCTCTGATAAACTAAAAATTGGCAAGTTCAATGATGGTATAGGATGATTGGAGTCTACAGTTCTCAATTAAAAAGATACAGAACCTATCATATCCCTAATCATCATCTAGTTTAAATCATAAAATTTACTGAGCAGAAAGCTAGCTGAACAGCTTACATATTAAAATCAGGAACAGCCACAATGTTGAACAAATCAAGATCATATTCAAGACCAAATACCTGTTTGAACAGAACAATACAGATCAGTTCCACAACATCCAATTAGTTGAAAGATTCAATATCATCAACACCACAGAAGGAAAAAACAATACTAACATCCTCATCCCACTTCATAGCTGCTTTAAGGGAATACATAGCATGGCCAGTTTTGGGTACATCCTCTGAAGGGGTCCAGATCCTCAATTTTACCTCACGGCCAGAGTGGGTAACAAATTTATCATCTCTGCTTTCTAATTGTCCAGCAACTAATGCAAACAGATAGCTTGGTTTTTTAAAAGGGTCTTCCCATAAAGCATAATGTTTTCCACCCTATACAGAACATGTTATAAATTATAAGTTCAACAGGACAAAAAGTCATTTCATAATTTCTTGTATCAGAGAACAGATACCTCAAGATCGCCTTGCTCTATCAGATTCCCATTAGATAAAAGCACCGGATAAAGAGTCTTATCAGCTACAATTCGACAAGTGTATCTTGCCATCACATCAGGGCGATCCTGACAAAATATTATACATCAATAGGTAGCCCTTTTATGTCAAATAAAACTTTACAATCATGTATAGCAGCAATAGATTCCTTATTGTCTATGCACTACACTACATAAATAAAGGATATGCCAGTTGCAAATATTCAGATACATGCATAGTTGAATTTAAAATTTGCACTACGTTAAAATGATTTTTATGTAAATTTAATAATAAATGAAATAACCTGATAAAAGGTTATTTTCCGAAACCCTTCAGCTTCACATTGTGTGCAAAAATTACCAGAAGACTTGTAAAGGCCCTGCAAAAAGGAAAAGAATCAGCAGAACAAGAAGTTATATGATATTTCAGTAGTAATTTTACCTCCAAAGATGTGTTCTTCTGAGGATATATCTCTGTCACAATTTCCAGTATAAATGCACTGGCTGGTGGTGATGGCAGGGTTAGGTGATGGTGGTCCAAGTGAAAATCTTCTTTCTGATATCATATTAGAACCAAAGGAGATAAAAAAATGCACAATAGATCAACAATAACACAAAGCTGCATGCTTTTAACAACTTAGAAACATAACCATATGACTAAACAATACAGAAACATAAATAATACAACCATGCAAGGTGATTCTCATAAACATGAGAACTTTATTTAATGTATAAAGAAAAAGATTTTCTGCTAAATAATCTTTTTGCTTCAATTTAGAACCACCACCTTAACAAGCAGAAGCACAGATGTCACCATTTTGAAGTGTAGAAAATAGCCTTTGGACTCTGCTCATGTGAGGTTAATTTCATAACTATTTAAATGACAGGTAGAATACAAAAAAGGATGCTAAATCTTAAACAATTTATTCTATTAGAGTATAGACTGCTACAGTATGTTATTATCAAACATATAGAAGTGCCAAAATAAAAAAAAATTGTCAGGACCTTTAGTAGATACAATCATACAACAACAACAAGCAGTGAGTCCCAACTTCAAGTCCATTAGTAAAATTATGCAATCACCAAAGAGACCATCAGTCTGCTAAGATTGACAGCAGAGTAAGCAATGCTTGTGTAAAATGATTTAGCACAGAATTCCAATGAACATGCTCAAGTTCAATTGCCCACCAAACAACAATCCCCAGAATAGAGCTCTTCTTGCTACATTTTTCTCTCCTATTTATAAAAAAACCTATAGTAAACAAAGAGCCTACAGCACAAACTTGGTACATTAAAGCTTGTTGTTGTTGTTGTGGCTGCTATAGTAAATAAAGAAGCTGCACAATCTTCAATTTGACTAGTTCCCATGACAGATTGTAACATTGTCTTTTGACAGTAAAAAAAAATAAGTGGGAACTCTGCATCTTTATTCTAAAGCCATTACATTATTTAGGCAAATTAACTCAGTACATTAATCCTAGCACAGGTCTAGCCTTAGAATTATGTCTTGGCTTCATTAAGTGAATCTAGTCTAATTTAAAATTGTTTAATATTTTAATGTGTTGATTATTAAAGATAAAAATATGTCCCATTAACTTGCAGAGAAAGCAAAAATGACTAGGCATCCAAAATCCAGTGATTCACCTACATATGCATCTAATTGCAACAATTCACCAACTTTCACCAAATGTTGTTCACAATCTGTTGTTACTAGCTAAAAATGTACAATAGAAATAAGCTCTAAGAAACAGATGAGCTTAGGAATTCCCAAACATAATGATAACGACAAATCACCTTCAATTCCTTTCCATCAACTTTAATTGATAATAGCTTAAGATCACTTCCATGAAGAACCAATGGACACAGAGCACCTAGTACCAATTACAACTGAATTAAGCAGTCGTATCAATGAAATATAGAGACAAATGAAGTCAAGATGTAGTGAAGAAGCATTTAAATTTGATAGGTCAATATTGCCTGCACGACCCTTGGGTCGAAGAGACAGATTAAAATGGCAATATTAATTGATGAGTAATTACCTTCAACTCTTGGCAAAACAGCAATTTTTGATGAGACTATAGTCTTGTCCTCCCCTAAATCAAATCTCAAATCAACCTGAAACAATTCAAGGCACAATAAAAAAAACACTTCAAATGTGACTCTTCATTACAATAATATGCAGATGGAACACAAAATAAACAAGTGTAAAACTGGCAAGGAACAAAATCGTGAAGTAGATCACTTCAAAAAGCAGTTTAAAACAAATAGGACAGAAAAATTAGTTATGGTTGCAATTGTGGATTTCGTAGTGAACCAAATTTTGGTTCCCATTAAAAATCTAAGAGTTCAAGTTCAAACACAGCCTGAAGCCCACCGAGAAATTTCTCAAAACGGCTTATACAAATAGACTTGAGACAAGCCTTGACATCATAAGAACACCTAGGGTGACCAAAGTCACGAAAACATCCTCTCTGTTTGTAGGGAAAAGGCTGTATACAAGGGGAAGCTCTTACACTAGGCAACACAAGTAGAAAAATTACATCAGACAATGGTTATTCTTACGAGTATGAAGATGCATTAATTCACCAGGGCAGAAAACAAACACTTCTTCGACTAGCTGGTACTGACCATGTCAGTATATTGTCCAATATACTTGCCAAGATGTAAAGTTAGAAAAAAAAAATTGATCATGGTTTTAACTGGATTTATTTGTTGGCTAAAGCAAGTTTAGGACAACTAACAATTACCAGGAGCTCAAGAAAATAAAACAATAAAATGGGAAAAAACCACATCAATTTGATGTCTTTTATATTGCAGAAAAACCTTTTGACAGAAGCCATTCTCCCACAAAATTGGACCTCGATATATATTTTGCATTCAAAGATGCCCAAAATGTTTGCGAATTTATAATTTACTTAAATCTATATCAATCAGTTGAAAGGATTGACATTGCCACCTAAGGTAACATATCTAAAATATGTCCTATATCATTACTTCTCTCTAACCATATACAATACTCTCTACATGACATCAGTCTGCCTCATCATAAAACAAATATTTATTTTATTTTAATGGTTCTTTTTTCATAACCATTATGCTTCATACAAAAGGCAAAAGTAAATATCCTGCTTAAGTGGCCAACCCTCAGGTAATAACCTAATATCACATGATCCTTAATGAACAGAGAAATTAATGAAACAAATAAAAATATTGATATTGAAACAGATTCAATTAATACATTTGACAGTGTTCTGCTAAAGTTAATCTGTCATCAAACATGTAACTAGTCTGTAGGAGCAAAAACATACCGTGTCAAACAGATAATCTGACATCTTGTAGTCCTTCAGAAAGATCTCTCTTGGCATATCCATCTTTGACTCCTCAGATTGTGCTGGTACAGGTTGTGTTGCAACCAAAGAAGTAAATCTTTTGCCACTTAACTTTAAACTCTAAAACAACATCACAAAATCAAAAATCCAAGCACATACGGGTTAGACATTGAATAAATGAAAGCATCTCTTGCAGCATGATATCTTAGGACCATAAGTATTGATTTAACTTGAAAAGAATATCTAGCAGGTCCAGGCATGAAACAAGTTCTGAAAGTTGCCTCAGATAATTTAACCACTTAGTAAGAGAATGCATTATATTGTAAAGACATTGATTAAAGAAAATAACAAAAGCGCCATAAATCCCCAACATTCCAGGTAGTCCAGATTGACAACTTTAACCACTTAAACTGAAATGCAGTTAAGGATAAGAGACATGTTATTTATTTTCATCCATCTTATCTGCATAAGATGCTCATGTTATACGAAGTCGTAATTATAATATGCCAACAAGCATTCAAGAATAACTATTTGAATATTTTCCTATTCATAAATATGGGAAATCAAACAGCTTATACAATACTAAAGCAATCCAACCGTAGTCAAGGTTTACTTCACTCGTAAAAATTAATTTACATCAAATTTACTTAATAAATTTAGCAAAGAGTGAATCTGAGGCCTTTCTAGTAAGAATATTCTTCTTTTGATAATGAGATATCTCACTTGCATACTATTGCTGCGCTGAAGCTTCCAAAAACAACAGAATTCCAAGCAAAATTAGTTACATAATGGCCAGTGCCAATGGCCTTCTGATATCAAGCATGAGTTATCCCAACATAAACCACAATAGATATAACAGGCAATACTTGATTAAGATGGACCAAGGTTCAACTAATTTACTATGAAAAAAGTTAAATAACTAGATGTTCAAAAACCCCGTTTGGTGTGATCAAACCAAGGGGCTGCTATGCAGAAGATTAGAAAAGGAAGAATAACCTAGCGGTTCTCTCCCTCCATCCAAAGGCCATCTTGGTGGGTAGAAATACCACTCAACTTCTATGTCATTGCTTCTCCTTTTCATTCATATTCATTGGATCAAGAAAATTCACCAAAGTATCTAAATTTACTAATAGATAGAGCATACTACAGTCGAGTCTCTTTTCTCATTCCCCGAGAATCCATGAACACTAGATCGTAGGTACACTTGTGTCATCTTTTAAAGTCCATTTAGTAGCCAGTATAGCTAATGACTCGTTGTTATCTAATACCATTCAACGATGGACAAAATTCATCATCGGTAGGTTAAGATCCTGGCCTAATCAACTTAAAGATACAGGCATTCCAACTCCAAAACCATAAACAAAACAATAAAATGCATTTTAGTAATAACAAATTCATTTCAAGGTTCAAACACAATCTAAAACTTATGGAATAGAATCTTATTTTACACCTCATCTGAGTTTTCTCCCTTTTAAGACCCACCATAAGGCATCCATTCAATTCAAAAGCTTGATTGTGCTAACCGGCAAATGAAAAAGTGAGATTGTCGCTTACGTTGGATGTATCATGTATGGTGATGAGATGTAAAATGACATATTTTAATCAACCTGCAAAACACTAAGCCATATAAAAAAGATTAACGATGAGAAAGCTCACAGGTGAACACGATGGTAAGAGGCCTCTGCACCAATATGAACCCTAGAATTCCAAGAAAGTGTTAGCAGCATATTCCAGATGATGCAGCAGTAGATGCAGATGCCACAAAATTGAAAAGGTAACCTCGACCTTAATGTTCAAATTGCAATTATCGTGATTATTTGTAAAATAACTATTTCTTGGAGAAGATAAAGTTGAAAAGCGAAGTGGATGCTGAAGCTGCAAAGGTACAAGGAGATTGACCTCAGCATACAAACTTATGGAAAGTGGAAATAAATTGCAAAGAACGAAAAACCAAAGTTTGCATGAAAGTACACGTTAATAAAAAGCAAAGTTTAATCCATATGAAGCAGTAGTATTAGGAACGTTGTAGCAAAATACTGGTTTCAGTAGCACAAAAATTGGAAAGAAAGAACATCCATGTGGTTTGGCCAGCTAAAATATCAGGAAAACATTATGCAAGAACTGTGTAAATTTCTCAAATATAATAACTCTACAAGACTATATCCCCCTCAACATCCAGGCTGAGTCCCTAATCTTTAGCATTTATTTTAATAGCCAAGCAAATTCAAGTAAAAGATATTGGAAAAATTACATCTTATATTGGCAAGAACACAGCATGAAGAACTATCTTGCAACTTAGTTCCACAACAATATAGGCAGAAAATCATGAGTGGTTATGAGTGCAATCCAATTGAGCTGCAAAGTTTATGAAATAATATTTATGGACATGAATCAACATTAGACCGGCCACATATTTCTTCTATGCCATATGATGTCTCAAAATGTACCATGACAAAATCCAGGCATTCTGATAACATGCGATGTTACCTCACACTCAAATAAACTAATAGATACCTACAATGATAGGAAATGACAAAGAAGCCATGAAAGTTACAACAATTTAACCACTTTACACCAACCACATATAGATACATATTCTACAAAGACCACAGAAAAAAGACTAACAAACCGTGACATAAAATGTTTAAACCCAAATTTATGGTAGTACTTCCATCGAGTTATTGTAAACCAATTCAAGTTTCTCTAAAGGGAGTGTTAGCAATTTTCCCACTTATGGGTTAAATGCTCTCATCAAAGCTCAAATATAGTCTAAAATCAATCCATACAACAGTGCACATGAGGCTCGGTTAGTGGTTGCTCCACACTGCGATATATCTATATCCAACATTAGGTCCTTTTTGATATCATTGGTCAAAACCCAATTTAACGGAATAACTGACCTTTTAACTAAATGAGTCTGAACGACTAAGCAAAAAATATTTAAGCATAAGACAACATTAGTATGCCCATAAAGCCCTTTTAAACCAATACAAGTAGTTTATAGTTCAAGTCTCCCGACACTTCTAGGGCTAAACAGGGTCGTTACATTTAGAGATGATATAAGGTAGAAAAATCCACAAAAGCACATTCCAAATAACAGTTACTACAATGATTAGAAACGGCAATACACGAAGCAAGTTTAGGTTAAGGTTTCTAAAGGCAGTTTTTGGAAAGCACGTTCAAGATGAACAGATTCGGACAATTAGGTGGTCATTGTTCAAGCAAAACAAAAATAAAAGTGCAAGAACATGAAATAAAGAAAACAATATTTACTGTAAATCCATTATAATTTCATAATATAGTCGACAGGACAAGGGAGTAAGCGAAATTATTTCATACGTACAACCAAACGGTAAATTGCAACTCGAAGAAAAACCTAATCACAAAAATATTCAACGTTAACACGACAGCCTAATGAATAGTTAAACTGAATGCACTCTAATAAATGTTCTTGTTTACCTAAACCAACGAACGTTCATTATCTAATCCGAATAAACAGCAAACACGAAAACAGAAAAGGAAGAATACAACTTATAGCACGAAAAGAAAAACAAAGTTCACATGCGACATGAACCATCGGGAAAAGAAGAAATTGGGTTCAGATTATCACATGAAAGGAAGACAAGACGCCGAGAAACCCATTCTTTACCAAACTCGAACCTTTCCACGGGACTACCAAACGAGCCATTTCGACCGAGACACGCATCACCTAATTCTGCTAAAAAGAACCAAATCAACGCCCCAGATCAAGAAGGAAGAAACTGAGGGTCAGTCAATGCAAAGGAGAAAGAAGAGTTGCGATCTTCGGATAACACGAGTATGGACGAGATGAATCCAAGACCGATCACACAAGACGACAAATCCGCATAGATAGCGTAGGAAACCAGATCGTTTGAGCGTTAATCAAAAGAATACTGATCAAGATTCCATGATTTCTCTGAAATTACCTCGACGACGACGAGTGAGGAGCTGATCGCCTCCGCGGGTGGTAGAATGGGGGCGCAATGTCTCAGTGTCGAGGGCAGCGGCGATCGCATATAAATATTAGGTTTTTTCACATTACTCCTTGTATTACTTATAATTTTCTTTTAACTACATTCAATCATGATTTTGTGCATTCTTCTCTTCATTTCAGATCGAAACATGATTTCAATCGAACACAAAGGTTAACATTATTGGTTTACGTTGACAAATGGCTCGAGAATAAATAGAAATGTTATGCATTAGATTAAGAGCAGCGAGGGTTGTGATATAAATAACAAGACTTCCAACACCTTTTTACGAAAAATTAAACCTTCGGAGGACTAATGTGGAACTTTACCATTATCATCCGGGGGGGGGGATCAGTAGTATGTTCGAGCAAATCGAGGAATGGCGACGTGGGAAAATATCTTCTTTTCTATTTCCAAGAATAGGCACAACATTTCATTTTATTACCAATTTATCCATTTTATTATTAATTAGTTGGTGGGTGTGAGCACAAAAATTAGCTACTCGTGGTGGCCTCAAATAAATATATATTTCGGTACTGACGCGGATGGACCGCTCAGGCATCAACTCAGGACCACAAAATTCCGTGGTGGCCTCAAATAGGTACGACCGATGCCAAAAGCGTAATAAATGATCGATGAAATCAACCGCACCCATGAACTTTTTTCTAAAATATTATAAAAGTTTTATGTTTTTGGAGAGTTAAAAAACAACAGCGAAAGACGTTTTCGGATAATTTCAAGAACAACATAACTGCTCGTGTTCTTTCTCGGCTGACGATGACGATGTAATTGAAATTTTGTTATGGTATTGTCGAGGGGATGTGCCATCAATGGTTGAGTCAGTTCATTAATCTTGATCCGAATGTGGAGAGATATTTAACGAATCATGTAACAATCTTGAGTGGCTGAGGTGGCTCAAGATAATCTTTGCATAATTTTGACCTTCTTACGATTGTCTTGAGGTATAGTAAGATGGAATCTAGTTTCTCGGTGGGCTTTTACATAAATGTTTATGTTGGGATGAGTTTTTCGATATGATTCTTTTAACGTTCAAGTTAATTCGAAAGATTATATAGGATATGAGAGGTTTCCATAAGAATATATGATATTTAGATTAGTTTTTATATATGATCGATCGAGGATATCTATTTTAACATCCCATGAATTATTGTCCATCCAAACCGATAAAGGAGAGGGGCAAGTCTGAAAAATCTCCATGAGATATTGTTTATGAAGGTCAACAAGGTCATCGACTGAGAGACTATAACCATCCCTAAGTTATTGCCTAGTGGGAGTTAACTTGTTCATTTTCTTTCCTATTAATAAGTATATTTTTATAAGCATATATAAATATATATATATATATAAAGAAATATTTTTATCAGCATATTTATTCTGTTTTTAATATATATTTTTTATATGTCATGCATGAATAAAGTTGAGGTTTTGAAATTACTATAATTTTATCATTGCCTTAGCCTTATTTTTCATGGATCGTGGAACATCCTATTGATGAACTGATATGTCGTGACTGATGAGTTAACACAGCCTGGTTCACGAGTCAATATCGGGAGTCTTCGACCGAGTGGGCTGGTTGTCAAGGTCGGTCATGCCCTCCAAACGGGGTGCTGGCGTCGGAATGTTGAAAGCGCCTCTTTCGATCGGGATGGTCTCGCCTTGGGGAGATCTGCTTTCCTGCACAGAAGGCCCTAGTCGGGTGTTTTCTGACTGTGGCCCCTCCGATGAGCAAGTCAGTGGTGGGTTGATCTCTCTCTCTCTCTCTCTCTCTCTCTCTCTCTCTCTTTTGCCTCTCCTTGGGCCAGATGCCGGCCAAGGGTTTTTATATTATTATACGAGAGTCGGTCGTACGCAGGTTTGGCATGGTGACCAATTCTCGAGAGGTGAGATGATACCTTTGTGCGACCGTCGTCCTAGAGTATGCGGAATGGTGCAGTCTCGGGCTTTCCGGGACAGGACGTACTGAGCAACGCCTTGGTACGGATTCTAGTTCGGCGCGTGGGGGTGCTCCTCTTGCTGACTTGGTTATAGCGTGGCATGGCGTCGGTCGTGACGTGGCTTGGATAAAAAAATATACCTTATCACTTCTCCCTCCCCCCCTCCCCCATCGAGGCATGCTTGGGGCCCTTGAGAGAGCGAGGGGTGCCCTAGGTCGGAATGCCACAGCTGTGTTGATTGCTTATGAGGGGAGGTTGGATTGGCTCGTCGTGAGGCAGTTGGGGGGCGGCGCCCAATGCTTTGGGAAGGATTTATGCCATCGATCGGGTGGCTGGGCCCATGCAAGATGATGTTGGCGAGTCGCTAGTCAGGAGAACAAGCTGTGTGAGCTGGGCGGAGATGACTTGTTGGCCGAGTAACTGATCTCGGGTTCAAGCTTGTGGCTGGTGACTTGGATAGGGACTGGCTAGTCGTAAGTCAGGAACTGATCTGGCACGACTAGGATGAGGACTAGCGAGTCGCAAGTCGGAAATCGATTTGGCATGACTCGGGAAAAGACTAGCGAGTCGCAAGTCGGAGGACCGATCTGGCGCAACTCGGGAAAAGACTGAGTCACAAGTTGGAGGATTGATCTGGCGTGACTAAGATGAGGACTGGCTAGTTGCAAGTCGGAAACCGATCTGGCATGACTAGGATGAAGACTGGTGAGTCATAAGTTGAAAATCGATATGGCGCGACTCAGGAAAAGACTAGCGAGTTACAAGTTGGAGGACTGATCTGGTATGACTAGGATATGGATGGGTTAGTCACAAGTCAGGAGCCGATCTGGTGCGACTAGGATGAGGACTGGCTAGTCGCAAGTCGTGAACCGATTTGGCACGACTCGGGAAAAGACTAACGAGTCACAAGTCGGAGGACCGATTTAGCGTGACTCGGATAAGGACGAGTTAGTCCCGAGTCGGGAGCCGACATGGCACGACTAAGATGAGGACTGGCTAGTCGCAAGTTGGGAACCGATCTAGCGCGACTAGGATGAGGACTGGCTAGTTGTAAGTCAGGAAATGATCTGGCGCGACTAGGATGAATACTGGGCCTATGGGCCAAGGGTCTGCACTCGGGCTCAGGCAGGGCAGATGAATCGCAAGTCGGGAATCAATCTAGCGTGACTCAGGAAAAGACTGGCGAGTCGCAAGTCGAAGGACCGATCTAGTGCGACTCGGATAAGGACTAGTTACTCGCAAGTCGGGAGCCGATCTGGTGTGACTAGGATGAGGACTGGCTAGTTGTAAGTTGAGAACCGATCTGGCACCACTAGCATGAAGACTGGGGGGCATCGTTGGGCGGCGCACTAGGTTTTGCCTAGGTGCCACCTTGCCACAGGGCCTGGTGGGAAACTTCTTATTACGAATGGCTTCTAGCGGGAGATTTCAGGTGACGAGGCGCCTCTAGCGAGGGCTCCGAGACCAGTAAATTTGGAGAATCCGAGGAGTTATGATGGTTTTAAATGTTGCGACCATCTCTCTCCTCGGGAAGCCCAATCATCGTCTCACGGTGGAGTAGTCTGCTCTTTATAAGCTTCTCCTAGAGCTGTTGCCATCACTTTTGCTCAGTCCTTCATCCTGTGCCCCGACTTCTTCCTTCCAACCTTGAGGTTGGGATGTCTCCGTCTTCATCTTCATCTTCATCTTCTTCTTTTGGGGGCCTACGATCTGAAGTCATCAATGTGTCCTCGAGTGGCGCACTGTCGGAGGCCACAGGGAGCCCTGCTGCGCTTGAAAATCTCAAGTTGTGGCATGATGTAGACTCGGTGGTGACCGAGGACTTTTTGAGGGTACTTCGGGATTGCTATTGCATCCTGAAGTGCTATGGTGTTCACGCCCCTCGGCCTAGTCAGCGATTGTACGAATAGTTTCCCAACGGGTTCGGGTTGACCGTGGGGGCCCTCAAGGCGGGACTGTGGTTCCCGCTACATCCCATTATTGGGGAGTGCCTCTGTAAGTGGGGCATATCGTCATCCCAGATGGCACCAAACTTTTGGCGCTATCTGGTGGCTTTTATTGGGGAGTGTCCGGGGGGCCAGGATTGAGCCGACCAGGACCCTCTTCCTGGCCTACTTCCATCTTATAAGGGGCAAGTATTACCTAACCACCCGCAGCGGTTTTAAGATCAACGACACTCCTTCCAACAACAAAGGTTGGAAGAGACGCTTCTTTTTCATCAGTTGTAGTGGGGGTGGGGTTTTAGTACTGGATGGACTTCCCAAACCATCGATAACACCCCCCCATTGCTTTTTATCAGAGAAACAACAGATGTGAATCGGCTGAGAGGCATCTTGTCCTCTTCTCGGGCAATCAGGAAGATGACCGAGGAGTGGCTGGTCAAAGCGGGACTGAACCCAGCCACTGGGGGTATGGTCATTCGTATATTATGGATCGTCCGCTCGTCTCGAGCTAGCTGACCGACCGAGCTTTTCCTTGTAGAGATGGTGGATCTTCGGTCTGTGAAGAGGACGCCTCACGCCAAGGTCATCACGCCACCGTCTCGAGGTGGCGAGGGTTTCGGAGCTGGGGGTGCCTCACAGAAGGGCACACCGAGGAGGGCGTCGGGGTCCCCGAAGGCGAGTCGCCCTCAGAAGAAGGTGAAGATTGTGGTCCGGAAGATGTCCACGAGCTCGACTGCGCATGAGAGTGTCATCCTGAGGTCATCCGGGGTTGCTCCCCAAGGCGAGGGCTCGGGGAGCGTGAAAGGGAAGGGGGTGGCTGGATCATCCGGCGATGACCCTTCAAAGAGGGCACCGGGGCGCCCGAAGTCGATGCAGGACCTATGTCGTGTCCATGCTCGAGTCGAAGGCGAGCAGTACCAAGCCTTGAGTATGGTCGATCTTCCTGCAGGGGAGTCGGGGACTCCCTACGCCTCTCAGTGGGCGACTCTCATGGTCGACGGTCGAATTTGGGCTGACGGGCCGACTGCCCAGGAGTTCATCCGGGGGGTGCTTCACCCAACCATGGTCAAGGAGCTTTATTGCTCCTCCTCGGAGGCACTAGTGGATCGGGCGGCCAAGTCATTGGTCTAGGTAAGTGGTAGCGCCCCTTCC